CCGGGAGGTGGACGCCTACATCACTTCCTGCCTGGGCCATTTCATACTCGTGTATATTTGGTTGGAATTGGTGTCCGTTTCTCACACTCTCCCACTATCGATGGCCATGTTTTCAGCTTCCAGATCCAGAGGTTCTGGAATTCCGACCTTAGACCTTTGTACCTCTCTCGCTCCTTTCAAATTCTCCCATCATTTGATCACTTAGTGTCATAGAGTTGTACAGCACAGGAATAGACCCTTCAGACCAACTCGTCCATGCTGACCAGGTATCCTATATTAATCAAGTCCCATTTGCCAGCATTTGGCCCATATTCTTCTCAACCTTTCTTTGTCCCAATGTCTCCTCCTTTGGCTCAGTGTCAATGTTTGTTTGATGGCACCTTACCGTGAAATGCTGGGGGACATTTCATTTGGATAAAGGCACCACACAAATGCAATGTGCATCAGTTGTTCTAGTATGTTTTGGGCTGCTGTTGGCAGGCGAGTGTGTAATGAGAATCGCAGGGGGTAGTTACCTATGAGATCTCCAGCAACAAGTCTCACCAGAGTTGGTAACTCGAGGGCAAAACTACCGTGGCTAATCTGTACTTAAATACCTGCTGATAAAAGCAGACTTTGCTCAGAAAGCAAAACCATTTCATCAGTCCAATGTGAACATAGTGGAGAGGTTTTTTATTTATTTTATTCATTTGTGGGATGTGGGCGTGCATGGCTGGGCCCAGCATTTATTGCCCATCCCTAGTTGCCCCTTGAGAAGGTAGTGTTGAGCTACCTTCTTAAACCACTGCAGCCCACCTGCTGTGGGTTGACCCACAATGCCCTTAGGGAAGGAATTCCAGGATTTTGACCCAGCGACAGTGAAGGAACGGCGATATATATCCAAGTCAGTGGCTTGGAGGGGAATTTGAAGATGGTGGTGTTCCCATGTATCTGCCACCCTTGTCGTTTTAGATGGAAGTGGTCGTGGGTTTGGAAGGCGCTGTCTGAGGATCTTTGGTGAATTTCTGCAGGAGATAGCAACCAGCTGCTGATGTCAGAAACAGTAGGTCATGATATAGCTTGCAATAGTTTATCAAACTGTGTCAATGTGAACAACTCCATCTAACAATCATCAGCTGATATTTCAAGTTGTTTCTATCTTACTCGAGTCCATTGCTTTGTAAGTAAAGTTTTGCCCTTCCTGGGAAGGCAACAGCATACAGTCAGCAGTAATCCAGACAGCCAGGCTACTGCTCTGGCGATATTGGTTTGAATCCTACCACAGCAGATGGTGGAAGATGAATCAATGAAAATCAGAAATTAGAAGCCGGTCTAATAATGACCAAGTAAACGCTGTCGATTATCACTAAAAAAAATCCTGCATGTTCGCTAAGATTGTCTAGGAAATGAAATCTTTACATGGTCTGGCCTACATGTGACTGCAGCCCCACCATAACATGGTTTATTCTTAACTTCCGAAATGACCCAAGAAAGCCATTCAGTTCAAGGGCAATTAGGGATGGGCAACAAATGTTGGCTCAGCCAGGGATGCCCATGTTCCATGAGCACATGGAAGAAAACTAATAGACTATGCCTGTTACTTTCACCATTTTTCCTGGAATCTCAGACTCTTGTCTCTAGTTATTGGTAAGTCATGTGTAAAAGTCAGGCAATCACTCCCTTCCTGAAATAAGCAACTCCCAGTCACATTGACTTTCAGAAAAACTTCATGCACAAGGCCCTATGTCCCAATATTACTTCAGCAGAGTGAGGAGGGGGAATTTTAAAGCCCAGTCGCCCTCCTGCCTGGTTAACATTATCTGAGAGGGACAATGCAATAGGATGCTTTACGCGTGAGTCCCCACACACACACCCTCAAAAAGCCTTCAAACTGCAATTGGAGCCTGCATATAGTTAAATACAACAAGGTGTAGAGCTGGAGGAACACAGCAGGCCAAGCAGCATCAGAGGAGCAGGAAGGCTGACGTTCCGGGTCCTGCTCCTCTGATGCTGCTTGACCTGCTGTGTTCATCCAGCTCTACACCTTGTTATCTCAGATTCTCCAGCATCGGCAATTCCTACTATCTCTATAGTTAAAGACACTTGTTCACCAACCTGAACGTCACTCCCAAAAAGTGCTTTCCAGCCAATGAAGTGCCTTAGAAGTGCAGCCTTTGTTGTAATGCAGAAAACGCAGCAGCCAATTTGTGCACAGCAAAATCCCAAACTTGGCAATGTGGTAATGACCTAGATAGAAAGAGAGAAGGGGAGATTTTTAGTTAGCATTGAGGGTTGTGGGGAAAAGACAAGAAAGTGAAGTTGAGGATTATCAGATGAGCCATGAATGGTTGTACAGGCTGAATGGCCCACTTCTGCCCCTGTGTATTAGGACCTCATAACATGTTGTTCATGACATGATTTTGAGGGATCAGGGTTGTCCAGGCACTGGAGAAAGCTCTTGTTCTCCTTCTAATGGTACCAGTGGTATCTTTTAGTCTTGTCTGTGCAGCATTCCCTCAGCACTGCACTGGGAGTGTCAGTCCACATTGTGCGCTCAGGCTTCCAGAGTGAGACTTTTATCCATACACAGTACTTTCTGGTTCTGAGCATGATAGGGATACTGAGTCACAAGTGACAAGCTGGGTGACTGTAGTGAAGGAAGTTGTGCAGATGTAAGTAACTATGATTCTGTGTCAGGTGCATTTTAGATCTGAGGACGCAGTAAACATGTTGTCGATGGTGTGTAAACAAGCTTCTGAAACTTCACCTTGTGCATTTGTGGATGTTTTAGATTCCTCCATGCAGCTGTACCTAGCTTCCTGTCTACAGATTATAGGGCTCCACAAATACTCGGCTCGGATGTGGTTACAGAAACAGCACTGAGAATGGTGCCTCACATTCACTGCTGTGCGCTCTGCACAGAAACCCAATTAGAAAATACATTAAAACTGTGAAGAGGCGAGTGGTGCTGGGAATCAGCAGAGCTTGTAACCTCTAAAGTCAACAGTAGAATTAATGTAATCAGGCAGAGACAGTGAAGGTGGAAAACAAAACCAGAATGAAAGAAGTAATAATAATGTATTTGTCTTGTGGGCTGTGTCTGCAAATTGCTTCCAATGGCAGGAGGATCAGTCATCACAGTCACAGATATAAAATAATTAGCCAAGGAACCAGATAGGAGATGAGATTTCGATTGTTACTGATCAAGTTGTTGTGATCTGGGATACACTGTCTGACAGGGCAGTGGAAGCAGATTTAATCGTATTTTCAAAATACGTGAAGGATAAAGATTAAGGATAAATAGAACAAGTCAGGCAACGGAGAGAGAGCAGGGGAGTGGAACCAAATCAGTGGCTCGTTCAAGATATTAGCACAGGCACAATGGCTACCAATCAGTTCGAGCTAAGCATCCCTCAAGGACATTACTGTACTTGCACAGTGTGATCCCAGGATTGTGTGAATCACCTCCATCCATTGCCTGTTAATCCAACAGTTATGACTCGGTGACCACTGAATAAATATATGGCCAAGGCTGTATTTCCCATTCTCCCTTAACTAGGATGGGCGAGGATTAACTAGGATGGGAAGCAGGGAGCACTGATGGACACCAGTCATTCCAGCTTGAATTTCTGATGGTGTTTAAATGATTTTGTCTTGTGAATTTCTGAACCAGGCTGCACCCCCGTCTCAACTTTAACTGTAACTTTTAGTCTGTTTCTTTATTTGCTATGAAGATGTGAGCAATATAAAATCCCCAGTTATTGGTGACTGACTGGTGAGAGACTGGTGATTCCTGGACATTCTGGGTATTAGTTAACACTCAGACATGTTGGAATCTCATCTGGATTCAGATAAAGCACGCAGGAGCAGATGTGGAGCGAGAGGGACTGGGGAGCACTCAGGATTGGGAAGCAGACCCAGAGTGGGAGGGATTAGGATGTAGAGCTGGAGTGGGAGGGATTGAGTTGCAGACCTGGAATAGGAGGGATTGAGTTGCAGACCTGGAATAGGAGGGATTGGGAAGCAGTCACGAAAAGGGAGGGATTGGGTTGCAGAGCCAGAGTG